TAAATTTCAGTTACTATATTTTCATTTGTAGAGGTTCTCTTTGGTTATTTTAAAAATCTTTGTCACTTTTTATAATTATCTGATCCGCAGAGTTGTTTCCAAGTTTGCCTAATAAGCAAGATTAGGTATTTTATAGTCTGTGTCTGATAATGCTGGGATTTTAAGTGGGTCTTTTCTTACTGTCTATTTCTTTCTATTTGTTCTTGCTTGTTTCCTAGTGCTTTGTGACCTTTAGAAAATTATTTGTGGGAATAATTTGAGGCCAGAAACCTTCTTCTGGGAAAATTTTGTATTTGCATTATTGGTTGGACATACTACCAGTTTGAGCCCACAGAGTTTAAGGTGTTGAGTGTTTGGACTGCCCAAGCTATTGACCTTAATGAAGCACTCTATTGATTCACTTCTCTGTATCTCTCTTTTGAGAAAAGTTTGGAAAGAATTGACTATAGGAAGATAAGGGCTTACTTAGGGTTCACTTTGACCCTGAGGGTATAGTTGAGTGTTATACCAGCTTTCGGTGGGAGGTCTCCTGTTAGACTCTGCATCTTACATGGGTTTTGAATTCTGTTCCCTTTGCCCCACAAGGCCTTCAGAATAGAAGTTCCAATGTACTTGTTTTATCTTGGTATGTTTTACTATCTTATAAAATATTTATTGCTTTGGTAAGTGCTAGGGAAAAAATAAAGCAGGGAGGGGGGTAGATCACAGTATTAGGGTGTTGAGAAATCTGAAATTTTAGTGTCCAGGGAAAACTTCATTGAGAAGAAGACAGATGAATAAAGACATGAAGATGGTGAATGAACAGTGTGGATATAGACGGGAAGAGCATGCTAGGCAGAAGGAACCAAGTGCAAAGGTCCTGACATGATTCACAACAGTGAGGATGGTGGGGCTGGATTCGAGAGAAAGAGAGCAAGTGGGAGATGAGGTTGGAGAGACCTACATGATATCTAAGATTTTAGAGTCCTAGTAGGCCTTTTCATGGAGTCATAGGAGAATTTTGAATAGTGACATGATGTCATTTTGTTCAACTCAGGCTGCTGTATTGAGAATAAACTCTAGGGGACAAGGTGAGAAGCAGGGAGAAGAGTTAGCTGGCTGTCACAATTATCCCTGGATTGTTCTAGGTAATGGGAATACAGCGTGAACAAGACTAAGTTCTTGCCCTTAAGTTTCCAATCCACTTACAAAGATCAGTGTCTGTTATTTCAGGAAATGATAGCTGCTAAGAAGAAAATAATTGAGATTTGTTCTGATATTTCATTATTAAGAAAAAATTTTTAAGCTCAAAATATTTATAACCTTCATGAAGGCCGGTTGTGGTGGCTCACGCCTGCAATCCTAGCACTCTGGGAGGCTGAGGCAGGAGGATTGCTTGAGGTCAGGAGTTCGAGACCAGACTGAGCAAGAGCGAGACCCCCGTCTCTACTAAAAATAGAAAGAAATTATCTGGACAACTAAAAATATATAGAAAAAATTAGCCAGGCATGGCAGCGCATGCCTGTAGTCCCAGCTACTCGGGAGGCTTGCTTGAAGGATTGCTTGAGCCCAGGAGTTTGAGGTTGCTGTGAGCTAGGCTGACGCCATGGTACTCTTGCCCAGGCAACAGAGCGAGACTCTGTCTCCAAAAGAAAAAGAATATTTATAATCTTCATATAAATTATAAAACACATTTAAAATTTTCAGGCTAGTGATGAATTAAGTTTCATGAATTCTTTTAGCTTATAGTCAAAAAAGCTATAACCTTGTTGGAAGTGGGTAAAAATTTACTTCTTTCTATGTTTGTAAATTTGTTTATTTTTCCTTTTAGTTTTTCTATTTTTGTTTTATATATTTGAAGCTGTGTTACTAGGTTCATAAATATTTAGGGTTCTGATTTTTTTTTCCTGTTGGATTGACCCCTTTCTCATTATTAAACATCTCTTTTTATTTCTAGAAATGCTTCTTCAAGCTGCTTTGTTTCAAAATAATACAGCGATACCAGCTTTCTTTTTATTACCGTGGTCTTTCTCTAACCTTTATGTGACTTTATAAAATATACCTCATTTAAGCAACCGATTTTTGAAAATTTAGTCTTAGATTTTTACTT